GGAGGCAGTCCTTCCAACACAACTTCTGTACTACTGATTACAGGGGCCAGGGTAAGTACTTTGCTGTGGGGCTGCTTATGAATAGGTCAATGTATAGGAGCATCATTGGTCTTTATTCACTAGTTGTCAGTAGCAACGTCTTCCCCGTTATGGCAACCAAAAATGCCTCCAGGCATTGCTAAATGTTGTCTGAATGACATCACACCCAGGTAAGGAGCACTTGATCTTGAGATCTGATCAGCAAGGAGTTATGACCTTGCTCTGTTTCTGACCTGGGTCAGTTCACCCCTGTTTAGGCAAAACTGCTGGTCTGCCACACCCAGGAGGTCATCATATCAATGGCAAACTTGGTATGGACATCTGGATCGCACAGTGGACTACAGCCCTAACTCCTGGGCTCAAGCAATCCTTCTGCCTCAGCCTCCGGTGTAGCTGGGGGTGCATCCTACCATGCCTGGCTGAATCGCTGATCTAAGATCTAAAGTCACAGAGCAAAACAAATAACCCAAGAAGGAGCATGCATGATATGCTGGTAACAGGAGAGGGGGGGAGGTTGGGGTCTGAGCAATTCAGAGTCTGAGCAGTTGGCCTCATGGAAAGGGGAAGTGCAAGGTACCGCACACCCACTGTGCCACATCTTGGTACAGGAGTGGGTGTCAAGCCTAGCTGATTCCTAGGGATGTGCTATGATCAGAGAAGGAGAAGAAGAGACAGCAGGGGCAGACACTAATTTGCTCATGGCCACATGAGGAAGAAATCCCTGCAATGGACAGAGACTGAGAGCCCAGAGGGCTCCATCTTGGGGGAATTTCAGATCTTGGGTGGAGAGGGAAATTATGGTCAGGTCCAGCGCAAGACCTTTACCTGGTAGATTGGTCAGATCCTGACCCATGGCCGGGCTCCCCATTTATAGCTGTCGTGGAACTTGTTCGGGTGCTCTAGACGAGATGGCTTGGAGTTTCAGGGCATGGTTGTGACAATAATTCAGTCAACTGTGACATTGAGAAGCTAGTGTGAGAAGAGGGCACAGTGTGGAATATGGGGTGCTCATGGACAGGGAAGAACTGAGTGGTGGTTGGTGGGTGTGTAGCCTAGAAATTTTCTGGAGGTAGGGGCCAGTGCTTTCGTAGAAAGCAAGAAGGTAGGCCTTAACTCCAAGCCTTATTACCAAAGTGAAAATTAAACGTCTTTAAACAAAATTGGTTAGGCAGTTTCCCATAAAGTGTTACAAAGAAAGGGGTACGCTGTGGGGAAGGCTACTCTGAAAGCAGCTCCTGATCCACTTCAAGGGAGTGGTAAAATAGTTCCGTGACTGTTCTCAGAGAAATCCGAACTAGAGGTTTAAGCTCAATTTAAGGACTTTCTCTGAAGGACATCTGGAGGAGGCAAGAAGTGCTACCAGTCCAACTCAAATCCCAAACCACTGCTGTGCGACTCTTCTAGTGGAAGGAAGGCACAGCATGGTGCCAGTGAGCAGAGAGGCCCTTCTTAGGGGCAAGCGAGTTGGCTTATCAATCCCCACATGTGTGTAGAAGCTATATACCAACAACAGGCTTCTGTTCAGAAGATAGGTAGGGCTGTTATTCAGTCAGCACACACTGTATGGCAGTGCTGGTTGTTAACCTCCAGCATTTGGTATATGTTCGCTTGGGCCCATGCTACACAGGAAATAACAAGCCTGCTTGGGGCACAGATACTCATCATTATGGTGAGATCTAGGTAGACCGTAGTGACCTGTGATATCAAAAGGCTTGACTCGACCCAGCCATTTGTCCCTATTCCACTTCCACCTGGAGTGGAGGAGTGGGTCCAGAGATACAGAGGGTATGGTGGTGGGTGGTGAACTTCTCTGTGCTTTAGCTAATATACATATAAACGTAACCACTATGCAGATGTGCCGGGTATGGTTTTCGATGCCTTACCTACTTGACTTCACTGAATCCTTGCAAGAACCTTAGGGCGTAGGCAAATTAATATCTCCATTTTACAGAGGATGAAAGAAGGCCTAGAGGGATTCATTGTGTCCTAGTTCCCACTCTCAGTAAATGGCAGAGCTGGGATTCTGACCCAGCATGCTGGCTTGAGTCTGTGCACTAAACAAGTATGCTCTAGAGAAGGGAAGTGACAAAACTCTCCAAATGGGGATATCATAAGGACGACAAGCTGAAGCACTGGGTAGGAGATGGGAACCTTTAAGTATCTCCTCTCATCTCCTCCACCCCAGCCAAACCAT